CCATAAAAGATATTACTCATATAAATAGAACAACCATTATTCTCTGATTTAAATGAATAACCGTCTCGCATTAAACAAGATCCAGATATAATGTTCATGCTCAACGCTGGCACCAAATAACAATTATTTAGGTCTAATACTAATCCTGAAGGTAGATGTAGAGGTAGCATGCCGACCGCGATCACATCGACTTTGGAACCGTTTCCCACGCGCATCGTCACCTCGTCCTTAGCCAATCTTCACTTAATCCGTAGTCCCTGTTTCGAGTTGCAAATATTAGCAACAGAACCAGTATCAAAACCCAGGTGCTACTGCGAGCATTGGTAAGGTACACATCAATAACATGTATATCACATATACCTTTGTTCACCTTGCCATCCTTCTTATCCGCCAAATACTTGGGGCAGTTCCGCTTCCAGTGACCAGTCTGCTTGCGGTAGAAGCACTCAGTTTCAGGCTTAGGTCCAGACTTGGGTTTCTTCTCTTGAGCAACAACTTGCTTGCCGTTCTTCTTGAAGTTCCCCTTCTTCTTCCCTTTGCCCTTTTTCTTGAAACTAGTGGTCTTATTGACCATCAACACTTGATGCTCCTTCTTGATTTCTACCTCCGCAGCTTTCAGCATTGCGAAGAGCTCGGGAATAGTCTTGTTCATCCCTTGCATATTATAGTTCATCACGAAGCTCTTGTAGCTTGGTGGCAGTGATTGGAGAATTCTGTCAATGACGCAATCATCTGGAAGATTACCTCCCAATTGAATCAAGTGATTATTATACCCAGACATTTTGAGTATATGCTCACTAACAGAACTGTTCTCCTCCATCTTGCGGCTATAGAACTTATTGTAGACTTCATATCTCTCAATCCGGGCATTTGCTTGAAATATTAACTTCAACTCCTGGAACATCTCATATGCTCCATGACGTTCAAAACGTCGTTGAAGTCCCGATTCTAAGCCGTAAAGCATGTCACACTGAACTATCGAGTAGTCATCAGCTTTGCTCTGCCAGACGTTCATAACATCTAGTGTTGCTCCAGCAGCAGGCCTGGCACCCAGCGGTGCTTCCAGGACGTAATTTTTCTGTGCAGCAATGAGGATAATCCTCAAGTTACGGACCCAGTCCGTGTAATTTCTACCATCATGTTTCAACTTTGCTTTCTCAAGGAATGCATTAAAATTCAACGGAACAACAGCACGAGCCATCTATCTACAATCAACATAAACAAGCAAGATACTATCAGGGACTAAGTTCATGATAGATTTAAGTTCAATTAATCATATTACTTAAGAACTCCCACTTAGATAAACATCCCTCTAATCCTCTAAGTGATCACGTGATCCAAATCAACTAAACCATGTCCGATCATCACGTGAGATGGAGTAGTTTCATTGGTGAACATCATTATGTTGATCATATCTACTATATGATTCACGCTCGACCTTTCGGTCTCCGTGTTCCGAGGCCATATCTATATATGCTTGGCTCGTCAAGTATAACCTGAGTATTCCGCGTGTGCAACTGTTTTGCACCCGTTGTATTTGAACGTAGAGCCTATCACACCCGATCATCACGTGGTGTCTCAGCACGAAAAACTTTCGCAATGGTGCATACTCAGGGAGAACACTTCTTGATAATTTAGTGAGAGATCATCTTATAATGCTACCGTCAATCAAAGCAAGATAAGATGCATAAAAGATAAACATCACATGCAATCAATATAAGTGATATGATATGGCCATCATCATCTTGTGCCTGTGATCTCCATCTCCGAAGCACCGTCATGATCACCATCGTCACCGGCGCGACACCTTGATCTCCATCGTAGCATCGTTGTCGTCTCGCCAATCTTATGCTTCTACAACTATCACTACCGCTTAGTAATTACATCGCGATTGCATTGCATACAATAAAGCGACAACCATATGGCTCCTGCCAGTTGCCGATAACTCGGTTACAAAACATGATCATCTCATACAATAAAATTTAGCATCATGTCTTGGCCATATCACATCACAACATGCCCTGCAAAAACAAGTTAGACGTCCTCTACTTTGTTGTTGCAAGTTTTACGTGGCTGCTACGGGCTTAAGTAAGAACCAATCTCACCTACGCATCAAAACCACAACGATAGTTTGTCAAATAGACTCCGTTTTAACCTTCGCAAGGACCGGGCATAGCCACACTCGGTTCAACTAAAGTTGGAGAGACAGTCGCCCGCAAGCCACCTATGTGCAAAGCACGTCGGGAGAACCGGTCTCACATAAGCGTACGCGTAGTGTTGGTCCGGGTCGTCTCGTCCAACAATACCGCCGAACCAAAGTATGACATGCTGGTAGGCAGTATGACTTATATCGCCCACAACTCACTTGTGTTCTACTCGTGCATATAACATCAAACCATAAAACCTAGGCTCGGATGCCACTGTTGGGGAACGCAGTAATTTCAAAAAAATTCCTACGCACACGCAAGATCATGGTGATGCATAGCAACAAGAGGGGAGAGCGTTGTCTACGTACCCACGCAGACCGACTGCGGAAGCGTTGACGCAACGTAGAGGAAGTAGTCGTACGTCTTCCCGATCCGACCGATCCAAGCACCGTTACTCCGGCACCTCCGAGTTCTTAGCACACGTACAGCTCGATGACGATCCTCGGGCTCCGATCCAGCAAAGCGTCGAGGAGGAGTTCCGTCAGCACGACGGCGTGGTGACGATCTTGATGTTCTACCATCGCAGGGCTTCGCCTAAGCACCGCTACAATATGATCGAGGTGGAATATGGTGGCAGGGGGCACCGCACACGGCTAAGGAACGATCTCAAGGATCAACTTGTGTGTCTAGAGGTGCCCCCCTGCCCCCGTATATAAAGGATCCAAGGGGGAGGGGGCGGCCGGCCAGGAGGAGGGCGCAGGAGGAGTCCTACTCCTACCGGGAGTAGGACTCCCCCCCCCCCCAATCCTAGTTGGAATAGGATTCCCCGAGGGGGAAAGAGAGAGAGGGGGGCCGGCCACCTCTCCTTGTCCTAATAGGACTAGGGGAGGGGGGAGGTGCGCGGCCCACCTTGGGATGCCCCTTTCTCCTTTCCACTAAAGCCCACTAAGGCCCACATAGCTCCCGGGGGGTTCCGGTAATCTCCCGGTACTCCGGTAAAATCTCGATTTCAAACGGAACACTTCCGATATCCAAACATAGGCTTCCAATATATCAATCTTTATGTCTCGACCATTTCGAGACTCCTCGTCATGTCCGTGATCACATCCGGGACTCCGAACTAACTTCGCTACATCAAAATGCATAAACTCATAATAACTGTCATCGTAACGTTAAGCGTGCGGACCCTACGGTTCGAGAACAATGCAGACATGACTGAGACACATCTCCGGTCAATAACCAATAGCGGGACCTGGATGCCCATATTGGCTCCTACATATTCTACGAAGATCTTTATCGGTCAGACCGCATAACAACATACGTTGTTCCCTTTGTCATCGGTATGTTACTTGCCCGAGATTCGATCGTCGGTATCCAATACCTAGTTCAATCTCGTTACCGGCAAGACTCTTTACTCGTTCCGTAATACATCATCTCACAACTAACATATTAGTTGTAATGCTTGCAAGGCTTATGTGATGTGCATTACCGAGAGGGCCCAGAGATACCTCTCCGACAATCGGAGTGACAAATCCTAATCTCGAAATACGTCAACCCAACATGTACCTTTGGAGACACCTGTAATGCTCCTTTATAATCACCCAGTTACGTTGTGACGTTTGGTAGCACCCAAAGTGTTCCTTCGGCAAACGGGAGTTGCGTAATCTCATAGTCATAGGAACATGTATAAGTCATGAAGAAAGCAATAGCAACATACTAAACGATCGGGTGCTAAGCTAATGGAATGGATCATGTCAATCAGATCATTCAACTAATGATGTGACCTCGTTAATCAAATAACAACACTTTGTTCATGGTTAGGAAACATAACTATCTTTGATTAACGAGCTAGTCAAGTAGAGGCATACTAGTGACACTCTGTTTGTCTATGTATTCACACATGTATTATGTTTCCGGTTAATACAATTTTAGCATGAATAATAAACATTTATCATGATATAAGGAAATAAATAATAACTTTATTATTGCCTCTAGGGCATATTTCCTTCATATACAACATAATCCTTTCAAGATTCTGATTAAAAACCATATAAAATTTGTCAAAACCAATGAAAGTATCTATTACTTATGATTTTAACAAAGTATAAGGACCTATATGTAAAAGTACACGCGATCACATTTATAACACACTCAAAAATAAAAACAAACAAGATATTCATAATCTATGGAAATTCTACCCCAAACGATATACAATTTGTGTGTGTATTTAAGTTTAGAAGAGTCAGATTTAAATTAACATAATTTTAATCAAAAAAGAAAATGATTTAAAATAAAATAAATAAATGTTTAATATATGCCGACGGCTGCCATCAGAGCCGTCGGCATTGATTTGACGGCGTCAGCCGACCCTTGGAGACCGGATTGCCAAGGCCGCTTATATGCCGACGATCTTTGTATACCGACAACAACCGTCGCCTTACATCAATCTATGCCAACGATGGCCGTCGACATAGATGGCGATGTGCTGACAGTTTTTCTTAGGCCGTTGACATAGATGAATATCCCGACGGCCCTGACAAAAAGCCGTCGGCATAGAAAAGGCCACCGGTATATTAGGTTACTCCGGTAGTGGAGGAAGCGGAAGAACAAGTAAAACCAATCAAATTCCGTGAGAATACAAATTAGTGAATGCAACAATTACACACATACATACATATAGACCACCATCCAATCCATCCTACACGTCCTCACGTTACAAGGCTAGAACACTGTACTAGCTAACCTTTGAGCTATCATGTCCATCATCCATTAATTGATCAATGGATCATGAACATATAACGTGCACGCATGTGTAAAGAAAAAGAAGAAAAATGGTATGCGTGGATCATGTGGCTACGCCGGGATGGGTAAGGTCGAAAGGAACTGCTCCACCTCGTAGTTGGTGTCGGCGTCGAAGACCCTCAGGCACATGGGAGGTTCCACGTTGCCTAGCGACAGCAACGACGACGGCAGCGACCAAATCCCGTCGCCGCAGATTAGCCCCGATGCCACCGCCGGCGCGAACATCTGCGCGTGCAGCCTGTCGGACCTGGACCACATGTAGAGTATCAAGCTCCCCACGCACATGTCGATGGTGAAGAAGGAGCCGAGGAAGAAGGGCACGGCCATGCCGAGCGCGCTGGGTATGTAGTCCCTGATCCACCACGTTTTGTTGTTGGCCACCTCCTTGAGCGCGCAGATGGCGATGGCGAGGATGAAGAAGGCGGCGCAGAACCTGAGGCAGTACTTGGGCAGCTGGTCCCAGCCGTTGGTGCCGAGGAGCGCGATGCCGCGGTAGATCTTGGCGTAGGGCGCCGGGTAGCCCTCGTCGTTGCCGATGTCGTAGGCCTGGTAGAAGATCCAGAAGACAGTGGGGGAGATGATGCAGCCGATCCCCGTGCCGATGACCTGGCTGACGAACATGGCGCGCGGGGAGGTGAGGGTGAGGTACCCCGTCTTGAAGTCCTGGATGAGGTCGGAGGCGGTGGAGACGATCCCCATCATGAGGCCGCAGGCGGCGAGGCCGGCGATGACCCCGCCGTCCTTGGCGCCGATGTTGGCGCCGAAGATGAAGATGGCGAGCTTGCCGTAGCTGCTGGAGAGGGACCAGTCGGTGAGGCCGGTGCCGTAGGCGTTGCAGAAGGCGAAGATGGGGGCGACGACGTAGGCCCAGACGACGTGCTTGGGCTTGAGCTGGCGGAAGATGTGCGGGATGGCGAGGACGGAGATGCCGGCGAGGGCGACGTAGGCGCCCACGGCGACGACGGTGGGGATCTGGTCCTTGAGGAAGATCTGCGTGCGGCGGCGGTCGTCGAAGCTGAGCGCCTGCCTCTCGTTGGCGCCCGCGAGGCCGGCGCCGGCGAAGGGGACCCCCGCGGTGTTGGCCTTGGCGCGGCCGGTGCGCTTGAGGTACATGTCGTAGGAGGTGCGGAAGAGGATGGAGAAGAAGTTGAAGAGGCCGTCGCCCATGATCATGGCGATGGAGATGAAGACCTGGTAGCCGTTGAGGCCGTGGAGGCTGCTGTTGGGGAGGTTGGCGTCGTACCAGTCCCCCCTCTTGCTCTCGATGAAGGGCCACATGATCCCCCAGGAGATGATGCTCCCGATGAGCAGCGAGAAGTTGATGATGTAGGGGCAGATCATCCCCACCCCGACGTACGTCGCCGAGAAGTCGAAGTAGAAGCGCCGGTTGTAGGCCTCCATCCCGAACGTCGGGAAGGAGCCGAACCCGCACGAGTCCCCCGCCGTGTAGAACCACTGGAACATGGACCACAGGAAGCTCCCTAGAAACGACTTGAACAGGATCGACACCTGCTGCCTGCCATTGCCAACATGAAACAAACATACATATATTCCTACATCCGCCATTGCCGTACGTCGCCGGAGAAGAAGAAGGAACGTACTTGGCCTGGATGGCGCCTTGGGGCGTGTGGAAGCTGTTGATGAGGTGGGCGGTGGCGGAGCCGGAGGGGTAGGTGAGGCGGTAGCTAATGATCATGATCTTCCTCAGGGGCACGATGGAGAAGAGCCCCACGAAGCTGACGAGGAAGAGGTAAGCCATGACGCGCCACAGCGACGGCTCCTCGACGTTCATGGTGTTGTTGGCCTCGTCGAAGCCCTTGGCGATCTTGCGGCTCATGCCGAGGATGTAGGTGCCGAAGCCGCCGGAGAAGGCGATGCTGGAGCAGGAGATGACGCAGGTCTGCACCACCGTGTTCTCCTGCCGGGTGAAGGGCCGCGGGAAGACGCCGCAGCGCTCCAGCGCCGACGTCCACGTCTTCATCATGAAGAAGGCGAGCAGCCCCGCGGAGACGTTGAGGGACGGCACGATGCCGGAGGTGATGTTGAGCTTCATCACGATGAAGCTGAGGAAGGTGCCCAGCCCCGCGCTCACCACCACGGCGCGGACCGTGATCTGCTCGTTCCACGTCGGCAGGGTCTTGCCTTCGAACGCCTTCTCCAACGAGATCGCCTCCCGCGGTGGCACCGGGGCCGGCGCCGGCGCCGGCGCGGGGGCGGGGGCGGGGGCATCGCCCTCCGCTTGCTCCATCATAAATCACCTCCGGCCCTTCTCCCACGACGCCGGCCGCCCACCTGCCTGACTGTCGCTACAATCGATTGATATATATGTATATATGGACGCGCAAATTCTTGTTGTCTTCTCGATGAAAATTGCAATGCGATGTGATGGATGCAGTAATCCGGCCGGCCTCCTCGAGATCGACCGATCTTGTCGACGGATCAATGGTTTCCCCTCTCTCTACCTGCCACGGAGGGGCGCCGGAGATGGAGGGGATCGATGGATCGAAAGAGTGATTAGTCTTTTTTGCTGCTAATTATGATTGCCGATCGCTAAGACAAGAGAAATTTGGTGTGATGGATTTTCGTGTGGTCATGCTGTGAGGTGAAGCAGCGGGTGGTCGACAAGCCATCTCGTGCGCGCGCCAACGCCTAATTTTGGCAAAAAAATACACGAGCATCTAGGAGTATCAAACAGGCGCCTGAAAAAAAATGGCGCGAGTCGAAAATCTAGAGCGTCGGATCATCAAACCAACGGCCATCCGATGCGCTAATGTTCCTCTAATCGTTGTTTAGATTAGTTGGAAGTTTTCGTAACAGGTTTAGGATTTTCGGAAGTCGCAGCTTGTTGCCCCTCGCATCATCATCGCGTCTCTAGAGAGGCCCTGACTCGGTCTCGTCGGGGTCGACGCTCCTTGCCGGCGTTCGTCATGTCACCCTGTTTTTTGACCTCATCCGAAAATCGACTGATGCCAATGAAATTTTCAGGCACAAAAGTTTTAGCAGAATCACAAGAATGTGGTACTTCGACATACTACCCTTGTTTATTAGTTGATAAAATGTATATTCAATATATTTTAGCAAAATTAGCAGTGTCGGATGAGCCAAAATTATATCCGACATGCTAATTAATTACTATTAAGCTACTTTGAATATTCAACAAATTAAAGTTTCTTGCTAGTTATTTTTCTCAGCCGAGATGGAACAAAGGAACAGCTAAACCTTTTTTGGGGATAGAGGTTGAAACCCCGGGTTCTGCATCGTACTAATGCATACAACAATCTTTATTCAAATTGATGCAAGGTAATGAGATCAAAGTTATCAATAAATGGGGTACATAAGATAAACAACTACAGCAGAACATTTACAAGATATGAATTTAACACTTACAACTAATTCGACTTTTTTCGCAGCAAGGCCTTCATCACATCCTGGCGGAGAAGGCCAGGACAAGGATTTTCATCATTATTGCCAAGACCAAACACTTAAGATTAGCACATCGGCAAGTAGAAACCACCTTCAACAAGATAACGATGCAAGTTCACTATTACTAAGCATGACTGATAAAGTCTAAGACAATAGTTTCACTCACTCTAAGCATGAAGCGTCCCAGTCATCATCTTGAAGACAAATCTTCTGATAGCCACGTTAGCAAGTTCTTCATGCTAAGACGGAGTAGCGCTATAAGATGTGTGGGACGTATTCCTAGCTTATCCCATCACCATAATGTGGGTGCAATCAGATAGAGCAAGGCTATGAGATGCGTGAGTGAGAGGTGGGTGTTTTCAAACTGCCGGGGAATGTATTTGTAATTATAGTTTAATAGTACAACATGTATGAGTCCTGTTTATCATATGAGTCCCTAATGGTTTGGCGAACCTAGGTGATAAGAATATACATGAGAAGAAGGGCGAGGATGACAGGGCCGGCCCTGAAATTTTGGAGGCCCTAGGGCGAACTCGATAAATGGGCCCAGTGGTCGAAGTGTTTTCGTTTTAGATTCCATACATTGATATAAAAAAATATTGTAAATCCATAATAAACAATGATAAAAAATTCGGGTGGATAATATTTGGTAACAATGCTGTACGTTTATGTTCTAGATCAAATATCAATAAGTTACATAGCACAACAAAAAACAAATGCCTTTAATAATCATGAGAAACGAATTTTTTTATTCAAAAATCATCAATGATAGTGTCAAGATTAATGATAGTTAATTTATCTGCTCCTTTACTGTGTTTCTTCTCACAGCTAGACAAGTGTTTTTCAGGCAACATGTTCGCCAAAAAACGGATCGAGGGCCGACACCTTGCTTTTACAGGAATAATAAATACTCCAGATTGAGATTGAGGACTAAAATAATTCACACAAAAAGTACCTCGGTTGTTCTGCCATTCCTTGCCCTACTGTGCTAGAAGCCGGCAGCCAGTGCGATGGAGTAACTCGGTGCTGATCTGCTCCATTCTCCAGCAAAAGCAAAGACAAAGTAACCACCATGGGGACATATTAGGCTTTTGGGCTTCTCCTAGACATATCATATACGGGCCTCGTTGGCCTTTTTATTTCGCATCAATATTGGGCCTATGTTATATGGTTGTATCCTTTTATTTGTGCTGGTGTCAGGGCCCCTAGTTTGGCTGGGCCCAGGCCGTCGCCCCTGCTGCCCTGGCCCAGGGACGGCTCTGTGTGTATGTGTAGGATGGATTGAATGGTGGTATATACGTATGTATGTGTCTAATTGTTGCATTCACTAATTTGTATTCCCAAGGAGTTTGATTGGTTCTTCAACTAATGTAGACTGGTGTAACTAATCCTTGTGAACTGTGAAGAAGAGACCGCCAATTGTCCTCCTAAAATCTTACATTCTTAAAAAGTTGGTCCCAATTCTCTCAGAATAATCCTACACCTACAAAAGGACTACGAAGGGCTACGTAAACCTTCCTTCGCTAATTCTTTGCCCCCCTGTTTTTCAGTGGGGGTGGGCCCCGCCTCCCCCCTAAGACCAATCAAAATTTGCCAACGGCCGAATCACGTAACAATTACGTAAGTCCCTTTGTAGGTGTAGCATTGCCGATTCTCTCAACATACCTCAACGTCTCACTAAGCAACGCATTTAAGCCATGCCATATTAGCAAGCATGCAACACACATGGTAACTCGCCTATCATGCCATATCCGCAAGCATGCAATTAAACAACTGAATTTTCCTACTCTACCATGATGCCATGTCATCACTTATGTTTTCTTTTTTTCTTTACTTCAGTTTACTAACCTTGAGTCCATTATCTCCTCCATGCAAAAACAAGCAGCAAAATTGGTTGGCTGTTCACATCCCCACTATCTTGATTTCTCCCTCTCTGTACCAACGTTGCATCCCCACTATCTTTAACATGGAAGACGAAAACATGGCCTCTCCATCTTCCATCCACTATCCCATAGGCTCTTCATCTCTCAGATGGTCCCTCTGCTCCGTGTCCATATAACTAGCGTGCTCTCGCGCCTCTCAAGTTGCAATCCATCGAGTCGTCTCTCCATCTAGAACAAATCCAGTCCTTCCCAGGCGGGCGTGGCGGCTGAGCGGCGATCACCGGGTCAGAATTCTCTCCGGCTTAGGAACGAACGCCAGTCTGCCTCGGGCCCGGCCTCGCACCACTCATCGTCTAACAACAAAAAAAACTACACGAGGTGGAGCAGTTCCATGCTACCTTACTCATCCCGCAGGCATAGCCACATGATCCACCCATACCATTATTATTTTTCTTCTTTTTCTTTGCATGCCCACACGTTATATCGTTTGATTGATTATAGATTTGCATATGTTCATGATCGATTGATCGATTAATGGATAAATGATACCCATGATAGCTCAAAGGTTAGCTAGTATACAGTGTTCTAGCCTTGTACCATGAGTACGTGTAGTATGGATTGGATGGTGGTATACATGTATGTATGTATGTGTGTAATTGTTGCATTCACCAATCTGTATTCTCAAGGTGTTTGATTGGTTCTTCAACTAATGTAGACTGATGTAACTAATCCTTGTGAGTTGTGAAGAAGAGAACAATTGTCCTCTTGAATGTTCTATATAAGGGACAGACTATCACTCAGTCGACTGAATTTCTGATATGGGCCGACCATTTTTTTCTGCATGCAGTGCGAGGTGTGTTGTGGAATGTGCATGCGCGTGCATGAGCTAGCTTAGGTTGTGGCACGTGTGTCGGTGCTAAAACCGGCCGATCTCGGGTAGGGGGTCCCGAGCTGGTGATGTTGGAAAGATGGTAACAGGAAGAAATAGGGACACAGTGTTTACCCAGTTTCGGGCCCTCTCGAGGAGGTAAAACTCTACGTCCTTCTCTTGTTATATTGATTGTGATGGGGTACAAAGTGCAGTATGATCTACCTCGAGATCGTACGAATGAGTTCTAAGCTCTAAACCTCTCAATCTTGCCTCTACGGACTAAACCCCTCGGCTTATATAAGCATTGGGGGTATCTAGGGTTTACATGTAGTCGGTTACAATCTGGGGATAAACATGCCGATCATTTAGTCATTCCTTGAAGTATACGCCAAGTCCTCAGAGGTCTTCATCTTGATTACGCTGAGGGCCAAGGCATGTACAACCCATTCTTCAATTGTAGATGGGTCGTTGGCTCGGCCTGTAAACAGGGGCTCGATGTGGTGTGCACCCCCTTATCAAGGATAATGTCAGTAGCCCCTGAACTAGTCTTCAAGCCGAGGACAATTTGCTCCTTCCTCGGGATAGCTTCATAAATTTAGTCTCTAGCTTTGTAGGTCCGGATTCTGAGGACATGCTTGGCTCTGAGGTCTTCTTTATGACCCCATTATTGAGGTTCGACCATCCTTGTGTGAATCCAAGCATTGATATACTTCAATCATCAGGATATGTTTTTAGCAGGTCCTTTGATAAGGGGCATTGCGTTTTCGTAGAGTCCGAGGACAACATAAGGTCAATTCCTTATAAGGGAACTTTCATTCTCTAAGGACCTTCGATGACCTTTGGTAGTTCAGTGGCCCCACATCTCAATATACCCGCTAAAGGGAGACGTGGTGCGGCCGCATATCAACCTTCAACGGTGGATATGTTCGTATGCCGTGAAGTTTTTTTTG